GTAAGGACACGCGCCGTGACCCAGCAACAGTACCAAGCACTCGGGACGCACCAGATCACACGCGAGATGCAGCGCGGTTTTGCTGCCGTCGGTGTGGACGCATCCGTGACGGTTCAGGTAGCTCCGTCTGTCGCAGTCTGTGAGGTCTTTAATGGTGGCCATGATCATTTTCAGGATGTTGATGCGGTTGTAGCGGACGGCTATGGCCAGGTGCGGTGTGGTGGACGCCTGGCAGCAGCAGAAGCTTCTGCTGGGCATCTCCAGCGCGCCGGTGGAGAACCTGTTGAGTAAATAACGCGCGTACTGCTGGTGATCATGTACCAGCGCGTACAGAAACGCCTCCGACGGGGAGTACGCGCACGCCTGTCCGTCATCTTCCCAGTGAAACACCTCCATTGTCCGCATGTCCTCCAGGACCCACACCGGCAACAGGTCCCGGACAGCCTGATAAAATGCAAATGAGGATTTTTGGCATTGTTTCGGGGATTTATAATCCGCGCGGCTCTCGTACATCCCCAGATCCAACGGCATCGTGAGTTCCGCTGTTATAATAAACGTTTTTGGGGGGCTGTTTGGATTTAAAATGACGATTTAAAGGCTTTTACGTGGATATTCAGTGCAGCCAGAGCTGACACTGAACCATCTGTGAGAATATAGATGCGTAACCCAGAAGGCCAGGCGGAATAATAAATGAAAAACAAGGCGGTAATCTCGTACTATAGTGTCTAAAACCGTTCACCCGCATTCAAACCCCACTACAAGCTCAGCCGAGAGTTTATATATGATGGGCAGCCCGTGTTGGTTTGCGCCTATCGCTGCGCTCGTTGCCATTGGACGCTGGCGCATGTCACCAGGGTACAAAGTGCCTCCAACTTCTCCTTATTAGTGTAGAACGCATGTGTGCGTATGTTTGGGCGCTATCGAGTGACCCTCGCGCATTCAGTACATTCAGCGCGAGTCTTGTTACATAATATTTCACAGACCGAGCCATGCGCTCTTTGCACGGGGTGATCTACCTGATCTGTTTATTATGGCACCCTGTAAACGTGCCATAATAACGTTTAATAACGTTCACCCATAAATCGTTCATTTATGGGTGAACGATTAAGTATTTTTTTTCTTGAGGTTATATAATTGTATATATGCACAATCAAGAATTTTATTTATTTATTTATTTATTGAAGTTAAGAGATTTTTTTTTTTGAAGAAATAAAAGGTAAAATATGTCCAAGTAAAAATTAATCAAATTGGTCGACAATCAGACTGAACTGCAGTAGTCAAGTGGATCTTCATAAAAAGGGAAGACTTAAATGTGCTGAGGAACACGTGCGCCATCTAGCGGATATGTATTGTGATTGTATTTTTTTTCCCCCAGAAAAAAAGTTAGTTTATCACTTTATCTCCAATCAGGTGATCAGATGAACCGTAATCAGATGTAATGACATGCAATTACAGCCTGTGTAGCAATACTGCATAGACATATTACTGCAAAAATTGTACTGTTTGGATTTGACAGGTGTTTAGATTTAATTATTCAGAATATTGTTAAATACGTTTTACACTACACAAATTCATTTGCAGCTGTGTGCTGTTTTTATGCTGTTGTTCATCCCACTAGTGTTCAGGGTCTCAGAGGGATCTCACCACATTTGCAATAAAAATTATTATAAATTTGTTTTAAGATGCCATCAGTGTTGGGGAAAGTTACTTTTAAATGTAATGCTTTACAATATTGTGTTACTCCCTAAAAAAAAGTAACTATTTGCGTTACTTACTTTTATGAAAAGTAATGTGTTACATCACTTTTGCATTACTTTTTCTCACCTGGGCTGGGCTTGCTAACAAAAAATTAATTGATAACAATAACAATCTTATTTCAGCAATAAATGAAAACACACACACACACACAAATGTGATGTTTAACTAAAATAATTTTTGCTTATCTGTATGGCTGAATTGGACCATCAAAGGTCAGCAGTGAGAATTAATACATAAAGTATATTTGTATTTAACAGATTTGAACAGATTATTGCAATTTTACGGAATATTCTGAGTTTGCATTTCACTGTTTTTATTCATTTCTAGGAATACTGAATTTGTTTTTGAGCAGGTAAATTGAGTAAATACATGTTTAGTCTAGAACTCCAATAACCATCACAAACGCACATGCCTCTGCACTTACTCCTGAATTCTCTCAACATGAAAACAAGAGAGATCTCAATCAATATATGGTAAACAAAGTAACTTGTGTTTCTTATTTGAATAAGTAATTCAGATATTTTGTTATAAGTTTTAAAAGTAATGTGTTACTTTACTAGTTACTTGAAAAAAAAGTAATCTGATTACGTAACTCAAGTTACATGTAATGCGTTACCCCCAACACTGGATGCCACCATATACACAAAGAAACACAATGTAGACTTGGCATGACAAGAAAATAATACTTTTATATAACTACAGGTGCATCTCAATAAATTAGAATGTCCTGGAAAAGTTCATTTATTTCAGTAATTCAACTCAAATTGTGAAACTCGTGTATTAAATAAATTCAAAGCACACAGACTGAAGTAGTTTAAGTCTTTGGTTCTTTTAATTGTGATGATTTTGGCTCACATTTAACAAAAACCCACCAATTTTCCACGACATTCTAATTTATTGAGATGCACCTGTATTGCTACAGGCACAGATATCCTGATGGCTTAGTAGTCTTTGGACAGATGTACCTCAAATCAGTCAGAATGTATATGAGCATCACATTAAATAATATTGATCCCTTCCAAATAGGCTACTAATCTAATAACTAATATTTTAAATATTAGTAAGTAATCCAATACTGACTAGAATATATCAATTCAATATTAAATATTCATCAGACACTATAACTTTTTTATTTACTAGTAACTATTCAAATAGTTACTGACTCTATTCCAGTTTTAATAGTCTGAAGAGACACTAGTGCCAATTTTTAAGACAATTGTGCATTCCAGTTGTTACTAGTATGATTCTAGTCTTAAGATTTTTTAAAGGGGTCATATGATGCGATTTCAAGTTTTCCTTTCTCTTTGGAGTGTTACAAGCTGATTGTGCATAGATAAGATCCCTGAAGTTGCAAAGACTAAAGTCTCAAAACCAAAGAGATATTCTTTATCAAAGTTAAGACTCTGCCACGCCCCCCTAAAACGGCTCATTCTAACACGCCCCCACATATCTACATCACTATCTGGGAAGATTTGCATAACGCCGCCAAAATGTTCA